CCATTAAAAGAAAACACGGCAAAGATGCTTCAGTATGATTTTGAGAAGCCGAATGAGTGGACAAGTGCGTGGCATTAAAATATAATGTGGATAAATGTGAGCTTATCTACATTGGTCACATAAACAGGAGGGCAGATTATTATCTGAATGGTGATAAACTTGGAAAGGGGAGGTGCACTGAGACTTGTACACTAGTCACTTAAAATAAGCATGCAGGTGCAGGAGGCAGTGCTGAAGGCAAATGATATGTTGGCCTTCATTGCAAGTAGATTTGAGTGCAGGATCAACAATGTTTTGCTGTAGTTGTGTGGACCTTGTGAGGCCTGAAGTATTGTCTGCTGTTTCCTGGATCAGTTAAGACTATATTCATTGCAGTTTAGAAGAATGAGAGGGGATCTTATAGAAATCTGTAAAATTCCAACAGAACTAGACAGGGTAAAAACGGGCAGGATGTTCCTGATGACCAGGGAGTCCAGAACCAGGGTCACATTCTCAGGATATGGGGTAGCTTAGTTGGATTGAGATGAGCAGAAATTTCTTCACTAGGAGAGTGGTGAGCCTGTGGAATTCTCTGCCCTAGAAAGCAGTTGAGGCCAAAACATTAAGTGTTTTCAAGAAAATGTTAGATGTAGTTGTTGAGGTGAAAGAGATCAAGGTATATAAGGAGAAACCAGAAACAAGGTATTGAGTTGGATGATCAGCCAGGAACATATTGAATGGCAGAGCAGGCTCAAAGGGCTGAATGCCTAATTCTGCTCCTATTCTCGATGTTTTTATGATCTATAATTCTCAACTCCACTTTCCTGCTTTTTCCCCATAATCCTTGATCCCTTAATTGATTAAAAATATGTCTACCTCAGCCCTGAATGTACTTAACAACCCAGCTGCGACAGTCCTCTGAGGTAAAGAATTCTGAGAGGAGAAATTCCTCCTTCTCTCTGTCCTCAATGTGCAGCCTGTTATTCTGAGATAATACCCTCTAGTCTCTCCCAAAGGGGAGGACAACCTTTGCACATCTATGCAGTCAAGAACTGTAAGAATATTATAAGTTTTAAAAAGGTTGCTTGTCATTCTTCCACATTCAAATGAGTATAGGCCCAACTGACTCAACCTCTCCACATAAGACAGTCCCTTCATTCCTGGTAGCATTCTAGTTATCCTTCACTGGACTGACTCCAGAACGTGATAAGGGACTCAAATCTGTTCATGATATTCCACCTGTGGTTTGAGTAAAATGTTGAGTCAAACCTCCCTACTCTAATACTCTGTTTCCTTTTGAAATAAAAGCCAACATTCCATTTCCCTTCACTTTTAGCCACTAAACCTGGAGACGAGGACTCTCAAATCTCTCTATTCCCTCGCTTTCTGCAGTCTTTCTCCATTTAAGTAATAATCAACTCCTCTATTCTTCCTGCCAAGGTGCATAACCTTACATGCCATCTGTCAAGTTTTTGCCCACTTACTTAACCCATCTATAGCCCTCTGCAGACACAGCATTTGTCATCCCATCTATGTTTAATACATCTGCAAACTTGTTATAGAACATACACTTTGCTCACTCAAATCATTAAAGTATATTAAAAATAATTGTGTCCTTAGCACTGATCTCTGTGGCACATCACTAGTTACCTGTTGCAAAACTGAAAATGCAACCCCCCCCCCCCACCACCAAACCCCTGGCCATCCCAACTCTGTATCTTATATTTGATACCGATCCTCTGTGCATGGATTTTTATTAGATGGCCTGTGTGTGTGTTACCTTATCAAACATTATCTTCTGAAAATTCAAATATGTTACTTTGTTTTATTCACTCAATGGGACACTGGCATTACCGGCTGGCCAGCATTTATTGTCCATCCCTAGTGTCCTTTGAGAAGGGAGAGACGAACCTTGAACCGCTGCAGTCCATGTGCTGTTGCTTGACCCAAAATGCCCTTAAGGAGGGAATTCCAGGATTTTGACCCAGTGACATTGAAGGAACGGTGATATATTTCCAAGTCAGGATGGTGAGTGACTTAGAGGGGAAGTTGCAGATGGTAGTGCTCCCAAATATCTGCAGTCCTTGTCCTTCAAGATGAAAGCGGTCATGGGTTTGGAAGGTCGATGGGTCTTTATTGAATTTCTGCAGGATGTCAGTGGTGGTGGGGGTGGATGCTTGTGGATGTGGTGCCAGTCAAGTGGGCTGCTTTGTCCTGATGGTGTCAAGCATCTTGAGTGTTGTTAGGGCTGCTCTCATCCAGGCAAGTGGGGTGTATTCCATCACACTCCTGACTGGGGCCTTGCAGTTGGTGGACAGGGTTTGGGGAGTCAGGAGGTGAGTTACTCGCTGCAGTATGCTTAGCCTCTAACCTGCTGTTGTAACCACTGTTTATGTGGTGAGTCCAGTTGAGTTTCTAATCAATGGTAACTCCAAGGATGTTCGTAATGGGGGATTCAGTGATGATAACACCATCCACTGCTTTCCCTTCATTTATTCTGTTTGTTACCACTGCAAAGAATTCTAGTAAATTTCTCAGGCATGATTTCCTTTTTGTGAAGCCATGCTGACTCTGCTTGATCATCTTATGTGTGTCTAAATGCTCTGCTATTACATTCTTTGTGATAGATTCTAACATTTTCCCAAAAACAAATGTTAAGCTAACTGGCCTATAGTTACCTTTTTTTGTCTCCTTCCTCTTTAAATAAAAAACTTACATTGGCAATGTCAATCCGCTGGGACTTCTCTGGAATTCAAAGATTCCTAAAAGTTAACTAAATGTACATCCACTATCTCTGTATATACTTCCTTTAATATCCTAGGCTGCGTCAAGGAATAGTGGTCTTTAACCCAATTAATTTCCCTAGCACCTTTTCTCTCGTTATTGTGTTTATTTCCTCTTCTTTTGCCCCTCAGTTTGTTAGTAATTTTGAAATGCTATTTGTTTCTTCTACTGTTTTCATCTTCCTGTCCCAGTATGGAAGAGAATGGACTTAAGGTCAGATATTTGCATCCCCGTCATAACCACCCTAAGAGGGGCTAAGTAAATCTGTTAGCACCTGATTAACGGACAGAAAGAAACTGATTTTATCGGCTATTATTTCCTCTGTCTCCTGAGAGTTTTTTTGATTGTTATGCTATCAAGTTTCTATTATTCTGTTGAAAGCCAATATAGGAGAAGGCCATGCCTCACTTTCTTAAACATTTATTGATAAGCATTTTGCTCTTAAACATAAATTTATAAAACTTAAAAGTCCAGTTGCCAATATCACATTTGAATCCCTGTCAATTTGCTTCTTGGATTCCTGCCAAATCTAGCTGTCTAGTTTCCCTGCTTGGGTGCTGACTTTTTTTGCTGACAAACTAAACAATCTCAATTTATCGTCTTAATTCCAAATGTAAATGCTTGACTTGCTCCTGTTGCTCACGACGACATAAATGCTCAATTTATGTTCCCTGCAACTGCTTACCAGCCCATTGACTTTGGAGCTTATGAAAGTTGAGATACATTGCATCCATTTCTTAAGCAGATCTGTGGTCACTCCTAATTATTAGTGAAAATTTCTATCTTCTCCTCTCCCTTTCACCACAGTGACCTGACAATAAGAAATCTAAAGGTAATAAACAGGTCTGAACATAATTGGTAGTCAAATTACAAAGTGCCATTATCTGAACTGCAGGAGGGCCAGGTTGACAGGATGAGAAAGTGAAAATTGTGTTCAACGACTTGCCACATCATTAGCACATGATGAAATTTAACTAAAGTGCCTGGGCTACTGCGTGCATTCTACAAGTACAACTGTGTTATTCTTTGCAGATCAATCTCTTTGCTGCAGATTCTTATCCAGGGGTCAATGGAATCCAATCATTTTGTTCGCTTTAACTGATATCAAGCTGGCAAGCTCTTTGTTTCAGTCACTGTTCATTACTTGAAGTCAGTCAAATACATTTTATTCACAGATGTGCCAGTTAATTGGAGGTCAGTCCAGAGATGATACCGTGACTCTTAATGTAGTGGCTTTTACGTTTGTGAACCATTTTGTTAAAGAGTGAAACTCTGATCCATCATTCAGTTGGAATTGATATTTATGTAAAGTTGAGTCTTTGTTCATTTATATCAGTAAGAATCTTTCAGTTTTTAAGTGAGGCAGAAATTGGACCTTGCTGCACCTGCTGTATGGGTGAAAAATTAATGTGATGAGAGCCAGTTTTGGTCAGCCACATCTAATGACAAATGTACAACACAATATCGTTTCAGGCAATTATTTAGGCATCCCTGACAGCTGTATAAAAGAGGAATTAGATGGCAAAAATATATAAATGAAGCCTATCCTGTCTGTTAGCATTGCTTTTTGAATAGAACGTTCCCAACAATCCAAAACGCTTTGATTTCCTTGCCTAACAAGAGTATATCTATCTCTGTCTTTAAAATATTCAGTTACTGTACACTGAGGCAGAGAGCTCCAAAGTAGCACAAAAAAACCCTCTTCTTAGACTTAAAAAAGGTGTGCTCTAATTTTTCAATTATGTTCCTTAGTTCTGTACTGACCCACAAAAGGAAACATCCTTTCCATGTCAGCCCTGTCAGGAACATTCTAGATCTTAAGCATTACAATCAGGTCACCCCTTCTCTTCTGAACTCAAGTGGAAACAAGCCCAGGCTGTTCAATATTTCCTCATAAGACAGCACACTCACTTCAGGTACCAATCAAGGAAAACTCCTCTCGATCACCTCCAATACATTTACATCATTCCTTAAACAAAAATATCAAAACTGCACACAGGATTTGAGATGTAATCTCATCATCAATGTCTTCTATAACTGAAACATCAACTGTGTTGATGTTCAATTCCTTCCGTAATAAAGGGTTGCTTTCCATTAGCATTCTTAATTGCTCGCTGTACCTAAATATCAACTTTTTGTGACCCATGCACTGGACACCTAGATTCCTCTACCCCTCAGAATTCTAGTCATTTTCCACAATATCTTTTTATACTTCCTGCCAAAGTAAACAGCTTCACGTTTTTTTTTCATGTTATGGCCCATATGACACATTTCCTCTATGTCTGTTTACATACTCCTTATGTTCTCTTAATGACATTTCCTCAAAAGTCTCTTCATCCAAGAATCTGTTCAATGAACGTTCTCTATGCTGCTTCTAATGTAATGATGGCATTTTATAAATAAAGAGATCAAAACTGTACACAGTACTCCAGATGGATGCCCTGTAGAACTGCAGCAAAATTTTCCTATTATATTCTAACAACATTTGAATTACCTACCTAATCCCTCGTTGTACCTATGTGACAATTCCACGTGATTCAGTTATCAGAATACTCGGATCGCTTTGTCGACAGAGTTCTGCAATCTCTCTCGATTCAAGTAATAAGCTGCTTCTCTATTCTTCCTGCCAACATAGACATGTTCACATTTTCCCACCTTCCACTCCATCTGCTTTTTTCTTTGCTGACTCACTTAATCTGTCTATATCTCTTCACATATTCCTTGTGTCACCTTGACAGCTTACTTTCCTACCAGTTTTTGTGTCTTCAGCAAATTTAGCAACCGTACATTTGGTATCTTAATCCAACTCATCGATAAGTATTGTAAATATTGAGGTTCTAGCACTGATCCATGGGACACTTCACTTGCTACACCTTGCCACCTTGAAAAATAACCCATTTTTATCTACGCTCTGTTTCCTGTTGTCTAACCACACCTCTACCCATGCTAATGTATTACCCCAACACCACAAGCTCTTATTTTGTGTAGTAACCTTTAATGTGGCCACTCGTCAAATGACTTCTGGAAATCTAAGTAACCACATCAACAAGGTTTCCCTTTATTCATGTCGCTTATTGCTTCCTCAAAGAGCTCTAATAATTTCGTCAAACACAATCTCCCTTTCACAAAACCATGTTGCCACTGGCTGATTACATTAGCGTTTTCTAAGTGCCCTGTTTTAACCACCATAATAATGGATTGCAGCATTATCCCTCTGACCGAGGTTAAGTTAGTTGGCCTGTAGTTCCTTGCTTCCTGTCTCCCGCCTTCTTTGAATGGGGGAGATCCCTGATACTGCTCCAGGTGCTAAAAATGGCTGAGACAACCATGGGATGAGCGTACAGGCCACCTGCAGCTGTCAGTTCCTCCAAAGACCAGCAAACAATAACAGCAAATATGACAGTGGGGAGACTAATTTTAACTGCACTGAAGACCGCCAGTGCTGGTGGCCCTGAAGGTCCCCATGGCTGTGAATCATCATGCCATGAGCCCCTTCCAGGCAGCTGTCAGAATTCTGTGTAGCATCTTGTCGAGTGTGGCACACTGCTGCATTTAGGTGGTGCCTGATCACTACTTGGGAGAACAGAGAAGTCATCAATTTTGCGATAAACAAGGTTGGTCAAACCTGTGGGAGATAGTAAGAACTGCCGATGCTGGAGTCAGAGATAACGCAGTGTGGAGCTGGAGTAACACAGCAGGCCAGGCAGCATCAGAAGAGCAGGAAAGAGAAGGGTCCAGACCCAAAACATCAGCTTTCCTGTTCCTCTGATGCTGCCTGGCCTGCTGTGTCCCTCCAGCTCCACGCTGTGTTATTCCATTAGCTAAGCACCAGTGTAAACCTTTTATAATGCAAAAAGGACATTAGGGACTGCCATGTGGATGAGGTTTTGTAAACTGACATGTAATCTGAAATTATAAATATCTCTATTTTGGAGAGGAAGCAGAAATAAATTAAAGCACAAGGAGAACTACAGAAATCCTTTCAAAAGGTTGAAGAATATGTAACATAACCTACTTTTATAAATGGTGTTTGGAAACTTATTGGAGACTGCTAGTAGTATTCTTTAACCATTGTAAAACTGTGTTAGAGTAGATGCCAACAGCATGCACTTCAAAAAATAGATTCACAAAAATTAGTGATCCACAAAAATGGGAAGCACTTGACGAAGCACATTAGGAAAATGAGACAGATGAATCAACATGAAGACTATAAAGCATATGAAAATCCATTTACATCTCTTCTATCAAACTGTGCAACTGAAATTCAAAAAAAAAATCAGATTACAATTTGGAAATTTGGGAGAGTGGGTGTTTTGAGGCTGCTGATTTTTGGACTGGATGGAAGTAAAATGTAAGACTTCTACATAGGTGCAAGTCAGTGTGTATGTGTACCAGAGAGGAACAGATGGCTGAGAGTATTTTCGTTTCTTGATTACCTCTTTTTTGCATAAATTATTCAATTTGTGGAATCAGACTTGTCACCTGTTTTACTTAATTTCTCAGAAGTGGCATAGTTTAATAAATTATTAAAGTGTTAGACTAAATTTCTATCCCTGTGTCTTATAATAATAGTGTCAGTAAAGACGACTTGTTAAGGAAAAAAATCTGAAACGTACTTTGTGGGCGATATTCAACACCCAGCCATGCCTTTGTCACCTGAACAAAATGGCCAAATAAGAATTAAGAATTGGAAGGGAAGGGTCCTTCAGGCATTCCATTGACACTCAAACACTGCCTGATGCAGTGTCCAGTAAGGGCTGAAAATGGGAAAACCATGCACCCAGCCGAAACAATCAGAGCCGTAGTTTAGGTGTAATGTCACCGGACTACGAATTCAGAACTAACGTACAGGGGACATGGATTTGAATTGAACCTCCGTCATACGGAGAATCTGTACTCTCACTTGGTAGGAGCATTGGGGATGTCAAGTGCATAGAAGGTGCTCTGGGTGGGGAACTTCAATGTGTATCAAAAGTGGCTCAATAACATCACTACTGAGCAAGCTGGCCAAGTCCTAAAGGACATAACTGTGAAACTGGGTCTGTGTGAGTTTTGTGCAAAATAACAAGGGGAAAGGCTTACTTGACCTCAACAATTTAATTGTAGCAGACACATCTGTCCTAGATATAATTGATAGGAGTGATCACTGCATAGTTATTGTAGAGACACAAAGTGCTGTTTTTATTTGAAGATAACCCTTTATTATGTTGCACAAACCTTGAACAGATCTAGCAAATCAGGACAGGACTTTCATGAAGCGTTGTGGGCCATCAACAGCAAAAGAAGAATTGTATTCAACCACAATCTGCAATGACAGAACTTGGCTCATGCTTTTACTAACTAGTCAGGTGATCAGCTCTGCTTCAATGAAGTGGGAGGAAGGCAAACCAGGATCAACACCAGATGTATCTAAGTGTATCTATGAGGTGTCAACCTGGTAAAGTGACAGTAGACAATTAGTTGTGTGCCAAACAGCCTGCAATAAACAGGAATCAGCAAACAAAAGACCAGCTCTAAGCTCTGCAGTCCTGCCACATCCACTGATTATTAATGGATAATTTAGTGACTAACAGGAGAAGTCACCTCCACAAATGATGGGGTGCTAAAATGTGTCAGTGCAAAAAACAAAGCTGAAGCATTTTCCTCAGTCTTCAGCCAGAAGTGCCAAGAGCCACAGATGCCGGTCCTCAACAATTCCATTCCCTCCACGTTATTATCAAGACATAGCTGAAAGCACAGGATACTACAAAGGTTCTGGGTCCTACCAGCATTCAGGCAACAGTACGAAAGACTGGTGCTCCAAAACTAGCTGTATCTCTCAACTGTTCCTCTCATCAACGTGAAAATTGTCCAGGTATATCCTGTCCACAGAAAGCAGAAGACTTCAGTAACCCCAATTGTCATCATATCAGTCTACATTCAAACATACACAAAGTTGTGGAATGCATTGTAGACAGTTCTGTCAAGTGGCACTTGCAAAGGAATAATCTGTTGTCTGTGTTTGGCTACATCTGAGCCACTGATCTCCTGAACTCATTATAGACTTTGTTCAAACGTGGACAAATGTGTTGAATTCCAGAGATGAGGTGAGAGTGACTTCCTTCTACATAAAAGCAGGATTTTCCATTAAGGAACTCTTGCAAAGGTCAGTGAAAATCAGGAGCAGAACTGTACCTAGCACTAAAACAGGTGGTTTTGGCTGTTCGAGGCAGGGGCAGGAAAATGAATATGGGCCCCGGTGTTGATCCTGTTCAGGCCCCCTGATTCCATCCTGCACCCGGCCACCAAACCAAGCACAGCCAATCTTGGGAGCCTCCAACCTCAGCTATTGGGCCCTGAGGTCCTCCCCTTTCCTGGACTATTGTTGGAGATCAATCATCTCAGTCCCAGAACCCCACTGCAGTGGTATGTTCCAATGTAGTGTCATAAGTCTAACAATCTTCAGCAGCTTCATAATGGCCTCATAAGGTCAGAATTGTGATGTTTCCCAATGATTGCAGAATATTCAGCAGCATCCATGATTCCTCAAACGCTGAAGCAGGCCATATCCAAATGTTGCGAGAACTTGACAACCTCCAGGCTAAGCTAATGCAGGGAAAGTAACATTCGCACCACACAATTGCCAAGCAATGGCCATTCTCAACAAGAAAAAAAAATCCGACCATTGCTCCTTGACATTCAATGGCATTACCATCACTGGATTCGCTACGATCAACATCCTGGGTGTTACCATTGACCAGAAACAGAAATGGACTAGCCATATAAATGCAGCATCTACAAGAGTAGGTCTGAAGCTAAGAATTCTACAGCAAGTTACTTGGCTCCTGGATCCTCTGTCTGTTCACAATCCACGAGGTACAATTTAGGAATATCATTGGGTGCTCTCTACTTCTCTGAACAGTGTAGGTCCAATAGCACCCAAGAAGCCCAGCACTGTCCAGGGCAAAAGCAGCTTACTTGATTGGTATCCCCTCCAGCATTCACTTCTTTCACCACTGACACACATTTGCAACAGTGCTTAATATTCACAAGATGAGACTCCTGAGCTACCACCTTCCAAATCCACATCATCTACAACTTAGAAGAACAAGGGCAGTGGATACATGGAAGCACCACCATCTGCAAGTTCCCTCCAGACCACATACTGTACTGACATGGTATGATAGTTCATTCCTTCAGTATCACTAGGCCAAAATCCCAGAACTCCATCTCCAGCATCGCTATGGTTGTCAAGGACCGCAGCGGTTCAAGATGGCAGCATGCCATCAATGTCTCC